CACTTCTCAGTTAATTTTTTGTTTTTTTAAATGCAAAGCATTTCTTAGCAAACCTCAGTAACATTGAGCGTATCTATCTATCTATCTGTCTATCTATCTATGTATCTATATATCCAGCCGACTACGACTTTTAGCTCTCCTGGCCGTTTAGATAATGGTATCGACACCAAACTTTGTATGGCACAACATGACTGTATCAAGAACGCATTCGACCAGACATAACATGAAGATTGTGACATGGATGTCATGATTGTGATAATTTATATTGCATGGCCCTGCAGCTCTTGCGGTGGTTTTGTTCACATAATGTTGCAAAACTGGTATGGTATGACATGATTGCATGGCGAACACAAGCGACCGACCCTAACATAAAATCATGAAATGCGTGTCATGTAACAACATGACTACATGCCACGCTCCTGAAGTGCTCGCGGCAATTTCACTAGCGTCACATATACCAAGTTTGGTATTACGGTAGGTGAATGGATGAAGAAGGTATGTGACTGGTGAAAACATGATAAACATGAGATGTGTGTCATGTAATACCATCACTACTTGATACGCTCACGATGCGCTCGTGGTCGTTTCGCTAGCTTCACATGTACCAAACTTGGTATTACGCGACGAGAACGGACGGCATGGGTAAATGACACACACCAACATGATAATCACGACATGCGTGTCATGTAACAACATGACCACATGCCACACGCATGATGCACTTGAGGCCATTTCGATAGCTTCACACATGCCACATTTCGTATTACGTGACGTCAATGCATGACGAAGGTATGTGGCTGGTGCAAACATGATAACCTTGAGGTGCTGAGGAATGCTTCGCATTTAAAAACGAGCGCGCTCCGGCTGGCTCTGGCAGCCCGCGGGTAGCCAGAAGTGGAAAATCGAAGGGCCCCACTGATGAGCCAAGAGCAGCGAACGCATGAAAGTCGTCATTCGGGGCCGTCCGCACCCTTCGTAAGGTTCTTTGGGCACGCCTTGCCGACAGACGGAATAGGGAGAGCTGTGCCCGTCATCGAGGCTCTTGCTTTGTCGTCAAGGTGCCCTGGGCATTGAGCCAAGCGTCTGAAAACCGTCTGCGGATGCATTTCCCACGTTCTCCATGGTGCCCTAATGCAACCGTTTGCACAAACAGTGGTCGTCCTGGCGTACCAACTGATCACTGCAATAGACTAAAGAGTTGATTTTTACGTAGGACTCAACGTCTTCGTGCTGTGCTGTGTTGTGCGCAGTGTGCAGTGTTTTCTCCCTCCCCATGGGACAAACCGGGTGTGCCTATTTTGTCTTTTCTGGGTCGGAAAGGAAGTGGCGTTTCACCTTCTCCTTTAGGGGCGGTTGTAAAGATGGCAATTTTCATTAGATTATCCTCACTCAATTTATTTCTTGCTGCAGAGAATCGTGGAAAGGCCGCGACATAAAACGTGAGCGCTCAGACGCTCCCGACAGGCTCCAGAAGCTTCTCTCAAGATCTTTCAAGAGCTTCCATGATGGTACCACTATCAGGCAGCAATGCTGCCATCAAAATGTAAATACTGTGATTGAAGGAAGAAAAATAGGAGAAAAAGAACGTCACGGAACGTCACGGACGTTAACCAGCCTATAGGCACCAGGTTTGCTACCCTGCGTATGGAAGGGGGTGGTGGAAATGAAAGATAGAGAGGAGAAAGGGAAAAGAGATAAACACAGCGCATTTGGCAGCACACGCGCGCACACTCAGTCATAGTCCACTCTTGTCTGTCGCGGGGAGTGGCATTGCTGTTAAAGCCGTTGTTTGAGTCCGTGTTGCGTAGGAATTTCAACAGAGCTTTTGTCGACTTCTGTTGCTATGTCTTCTCTCGGCCACACGACAGAATAGTGTCCACAGACATTCGGCTGTTGTCGATGCGCGCAAGAATGGACGCCAGTGACTCTCTGGATGTCGTACAATGGACAGTCGCTCATGGTGTGGTGTAGCGTCTCTTCGCAATGACAGGCATCACAGAGAGCTTTGTCGGCCATTCCTACGACAAATTAATCATCATCATCATCATCCTGACTACGTTCACTGCAGGACAAAGGCCTCCCCCATGTTCCGCCAGTTAACCTGGTCCTGTGCTCGTTGCTGCCAATTTATACCCGCAAACTTCCCAATCTCATCTGCCCACCTAACTTTCTGTCTCCCCGAACCCGCTTGCCGTCTCTTAGAATCCAGTTAGTTACCCTTAATGACCAGTGATTATTTTGTCTACACACTACATGGCCGGCCCATGTGCATTTCCTCTTCTTGATTTCAACAATGATATCCTTAACCCCCGTTTCTTTCCTAATCCACTGTGCTCTCTTCTTGTCTCTTAAAGTTACACCTACCCTTTTTCTTTCCATTGCTCGCTGCGTCGTCCTAAAGTTAAGCTGAACCCTCTTTGTAAGTCTCCAGGTTTCTGCTCCGTAGCTAAGTACCAGCAAGATACAGCTGTTACATACATTCCTCTTGAGGGCTAGTGGCAATCAACCTGTCATAACTTGAGAGTGCTTGCCAAATGTCCTCCACCCCATTCTTACTCTTCTAGTTGCTTCAATCTCGTGGTTTGGTGACAAAGGAATAAGATTTTGTGAATGCCACTCCTAGCCATAAGCGATGAAGAAGGGTGGCTTCTCTTCGGTCGAGTCCAGTGGGCATGCGGAGAGCCATCAAAGAAGACAGGTGGTGTTGAAGATTCGTCTCGTTGCTTGGTGGCCACCATAGTAAAAACGTGATTTCACGCGCAAGTCGTCGAAGATTACTGGCTGCATCGGTCCGCGAAGTCGGTATTGCTCCTTCTCGTGTTCTTTCAAGAGCTGCCCGCGCGGAAGTACCGGCATGTTCGTTCCCTATGACGCCGCAGTGACTTGGCAGCCACTGAAACATCACTTCATGCCCTTTCTCGTGTGAAGTGTGGAGAAGGCATCAAATTTCGAAAACAAGCTGTTCGTTCGACCCGCGACGCAGTGCTGAGTAGACAGATTGTAGGGCCACCCTTGAGTCGATGAAAATCGACCATTGTTGTGGTGGTTCCCGATTTACCACACAAAGTGCAGCGAGTGAAGCAGCTAGTTTTGCTGCTGCAGACGCCGTGGAGTGGTCAGTCCTGTGATTGGAAGTTCCTGTTAAGAGCTCCGGGCTCCTCTCCTCGACATCTCTGCAAGACTGGCTGGCTCCGGTCTTCTCCGCAGACCACAGACTACATTTGGACACTATAGTGAAATAAGAATTTAACTCCGATTGAAAGCCTAAAGTATGACAACATCTAAAATGACAATATTACCAGCAGCAGTACCCCACTTATCGAAATATTAGGCCAAATGCACACTATTATAGGTGCCACAGTAGGTCATTTTGAAAATTATCCCAATGACGTAAGACGAACCGCGCACAAAGAATCCCTAGTAATCAATCTAGCTGCACAAAATAAAGAACTTTTCGTGCATCAAGGACGAAATAAAATGCTCCTTCTTCGTATTTGTTTGAATCTTGGAAAAAGAATCTCTGGAAGTTACTATGGGTAATGGCGCCACTGGTTCAAATATTCAATAATCTCGTGCGTAAACAGAACAGGTCAAGCGATCTAGCGGGACTAAGTTGAACCAAAATATGTCTGCTATCTCGGAGCCAATCGCAGGAAATTATTTAATGGCCGTTTTGCTGCTGTGGCTCCCTGCTTTTGTTCTGTTGCTACTGATGCCGGCGGCCACGAAATAAAGCCGCACAACGTTGTTTACGCCAACAGTGACGTTAGGTGGTTCGCTTCTTTAGAAGGGCAATTCGAAGGCCACCAACCTAGTGTGGACCACTAAAACGTTATTTTATTTCAAAATAAGTCCTTTCTTGGCACACAAGAAACACTACGATGTTTCTGGACTGCTACTTCAACAATCAGCGTCGACCTAATAGTTCCCTGTAGTTTTCTTTTAATGGCCGCCCAATGAGAACCTACTCACCTCCGCAGATGAAAAAAAGAAGAGCTGCAGGTTCTTGGCCGGATATATCAGAAAGTACTGCCACATAGCCTCTCGGTCGATGACTCCCCTATGGCAACCGAAAACACTAAAACGGAAGTTCCCAGAGCTCTCTGAGCTTAAAATGCAGCAGCTGTTTCTTGTGATGAGCGTGTGTTGTCACCACTTCTCGGAACCCACCACAAGATAAAAAAGTTATCAGAATAGCTGGAGGCGCGCGAACAACGCTTATCTCGGTGTCCTCCGCTTCGACTCTGCCAGCTATACCGACATAAAAGCCTCAAAACTTGATGCGTATATCCCTGCTTGACTTGCCGCACCATGACACGATGATCAGAGCTATCGAAGATGAAAGTTTTATACAAGCTTAGATCAATGAACTTTAATATGTGCCCTGCGTTGAGGTTGGAGAGGCCCTCGGCTTCGGGTCAATGCTTTCTTGCCCTTAGCTGCCAACTCGGTACCAGGGAAGCCCATTGTTTGAGTTGCAGATGAAAGCTGAGCAATAGAGTTTGAATATTTAGAACTGACTAGCAGGTGCCCTGATTCCGTTACGCGGGTGTGATTTTATTTCTAAACTGTTGTATCACAGCCGTCATTGCCTACAATTGAACACACTGCCTCAAATTCACCAGCGCAACCTATGTAACTGTATATTCTTAGGGGCATATATTAACAGCGAGATAAAAACAATGATTTAATTGATATGTGGAGTTTGACGTCCCACAACGCTAAAACAATCTTGCGTTGAATTTACTATTTGTTTCTCGTTGACACAGACGTTAATAATCATTTTCACAAACTGCAGTTTTCTCCTACCTGTGCTTCTCTCGCCATGTATGTCATGTACTTTTAGTACAACAGCAGTCCAGTGTTCACTTTGACTTATGACAGTGTAGTATTGGCAGCACGCATGATTGTGGAGTGTCTGTTTAACTGCTTCAGCTTCTTTTTAGTGCTACTTTAGTAATACTGTTAACCAAAATAAAAACAATCAATTCTGTTTTTAGTTACCCGCTTCACAGAATGCTCTTTACCTTGTGGGTTACTCCAGGACTCTCAACAAGTCAGAGTACTCATGCGTGGCTTCTAGCTACAAGGAAATTGGGGGAGGATTTATCCACCGCACACTTCTCCTGAAAAGGGCACCGGTAAGTAGCGCTTTGAAACCTTCCAAGTACTAAATGCTCAATGCAAGCATCTATTTCACTAGAAACAGAGAGTAGCTGGCGATGCTGAATTTTTCTTTTTTTCTCTTTTTAGTAAATAATTACCAGCTGTGTATTGCTCGTACATCATGGACTTGCCACGCTCATCGAGTTGAGTGGCGTCAGTAGTGTAGCTCATGATGAGACTGACATCAGTGCACACATTAGAGAACACAGGCAACCTGAACTATAATGTGCGATAAGGTTTGCATCATGTGTGTCAGTCATTTACGTATTTCTCTGAGAGTCGACCAAAGCTTGACTGTAGGTCTTTGCGTGATTGCAATACATATGCAACGTTTTTTTTTTCTTTCATTCTTTTCAAAGTGGCTAGTCAGTACCGGAACTACACATACTTCTTTCCCCAAGATGACAGTTGCATAGACTATATTCCTGCAGCAGTTTCTCGCACTTGTGCAGGTTTCTGGCAATACGAATGACCTCCACGCACAGTGCTTTGGTTCGATAGAAGCAACCTAAATTTCTATTCTGTGTTGAGGAAGATTTTCTGTAACAAGGGCAAGTTCAGACTTTTGTGTAAACCTATCCAACAGGGGAGCTATTTTCGTGGTGTCCGATGCGTGGACGTTTCAATACACCAGAGTGTGTTCAGTTACGCAAAATAAAATCAGTAGTGTCGTGATGACGCCCTTGACCACGTCAGCGTATCGAACTCGCCAGCCCATTCCCAGCGTGAAAAAAACAAAATGAACAAACTCTATAGTACGGGTACTTTATAGCAAACTTGACAAACTTCAACGTGCTTATGAGCGTGTTGTACATTCTGCACAAATATACCCGAAAAGGAAGAACGGAGCTCAATAGGCGCGCGCGGTGAACGCATAGACCATCGAGGAGTAACCACATACAGCATGCGTGCAGCGTGCAGCATGCGTGCAGATGAACCGCCCGGGAGATACGGGCTGTGCGATAAGTGTTGTAAAGGGCACTAGCCATCCTCCTTGATCGATATCTGGGGTTTAATGTCCCTAAACCACCATATCATTATGTGAGACGTCGTAGTGGAGGGCTCCGGAAATTTAGACCACCTGGGGTTCTTTAGGGTGCAACCGAATCTAAACAACAGGCCTACAACATTTCCGCCTCCATCGGAAATGCAGTGGCCGCAGCCGGGATTTGATCCCGCGACCTGCTGGTGAGCAGCCGAGTACCTTAGTCACTAGACCACCGCAGCGGGGCTGGCCATCCTCCTCTCTCCTGGCTCAGTCTTCCCCCACACTTGGCGGGTGATGGTGGGCGACAATCTAGAAATAGACGCCAGACGATGGATGGATGGATGGATGGATGGATGGATGGATGGATGGATGGATGGATGGATGGATGGATGGATGGATGGATGGATGGATGGATGGATGGATGGATGGATGGATGGACGGACGGACGGACGGACGGACGGACGGACGGACAGACGGACGGAATAGAATGGAATGGAATGGGATGGATGGATGGATGGATGGATGGACGGATGGACAGATGGACGGATGGACGGATGGACGTATGGATGGATGGACGTATGGATGTATGGACGGATGGATGGATGGACGGATTGATGGATGGATGGATGGATGGATGGATGGATGGATGGATGGATGGATGGATGGATGGATGGACGGACGGACGGACGGACGGACGGACGGAATGGAATGGAATTGAATGGAATGGGATGGGATGGGATGGGATGGGATGGATGGATGGATGGATGGATGGATGGATGGATGGATGGATGGATGGATGGATGGATGGATGGATATGGATGGATGGATGGATGGATGGATGGATGGATGGATGGATGGATGGATGGATGGATGGATGGATGGATGGATGGATGGATGGATGAATGGTTCCGGCTGTGCCCTTTAGATCAGGTGGTGGCTCACGCCATATAACTTTAAGGTCAGGTACTATCACTGTGTATTTAAGGATTGAATTTCACTTGCGCCTCGATTGTAGCCACTAATCAGTTATCGTCGTCCTGGTTATTTCTCTCATTTAAAGTCTATTTGTGCTTCACTGTTCCTAAACCCCAATGCTTTAAAAAATTTTGCAGTATTATCTTTGACGATAGCGATAGCGATGCTCACCGTCTTTGTTATCAGTAAAAATTATGACTGCCGATTTTTCCCTGCTGAACTTCAAATTTAACCTATCTCCCTCATTACCAGGAGACGCGCCTTAGACGCCACCAGGAGCGGCTGCGTTTCGCAAGCGCTCGGGCAAAACTCCTGTTTCTGACTGCTTAAGTCATTCAATGGCAACTTGAACAAATGTGAAGCTTTTACGGAATCGACCGCATCATCTGAAGCGATTTCAAGTGAGTGCTTTGCAGTTCGCATCCACGAAGATCGACTTTTTGGCAGCGTTCGACTACCTCGATGGGCCTACTGGCTAGGCCTACCAACATAATCGTCCACGAAACAGAGAGAGAGGAGCTTCCCTCCGCCGAAGCTCTCGACGATGATGAAGGCAGCTGGTGTCAAGTGTATGCCAGAGCCAGAAAGCCCGCTTCATCCCCGAATAAATCGATGCCTGATATCAACACTTCGCAATAAGAGTCACAGAAAGCTCTCCCATCGACTCGTCGCACTGCCCCCAGACCCCCTCCACTTCCAGCGGACGACTACAAAATAGTTCTGCGAATACGTGGAGGCCTCAGCTGTGCTGACACTCCACTTCCGAAGCTCATCCATTCTGTCCTAAAAGCGGCAGCGCTCAATAGCTCTCTACATGACCAATACCGCCTCAACTCTGTAAGCAACATTCTCATAGGCACACCGAACTCGGCACGCACCGAAGCATACCACCGTATCAAATTCATCAAGATGGACGAGCGCAGCTTTGAAGTGGTCCCCCACATTACCGGTCCATCGAATACCTACCGAGGGGTATTCCGTAATATTCCTATAGAACACACATCTGAAACCATCTCGTCAAGTCTGTTGGACTATGACAGACTAGCCCTCACCTTGACCGGACATCGCATGGGTTCTACAACGTCCATCTTGGTCACCTTCAGAGGTACGCGCGTGCCTTTCTACATAAGTTATCAGGGTGGCGCCACCAGATGCGTACCATATTGTCATAAGACTGAAGCCTGTAATATCTGCCGCAAACTTGGCCACAGACCAGACGTATTCCCGGGCACCCCTCAGCCGTTATGTCCAATGTGTGGCATTCCGAACCCACTCCTTGATCACGAATGTGAACCTAAGTGTACGGTGTGCAACAGTGACCACCCCGCCGGCACGCCCCAGTGCGCACAGCTCTACAAGCCCAAACCAAAGCACGCACCGTCAACTTTCCAGCAAGATGCAGCTCCATTCCTCGACCCAAGCCCATCTTTCAAGAATGCTCCTAGAGGACGCTCACCCAGTATGACAAGACAGCAAAGCCGAAAAAGCCGCAGCTGCAGCCGAAGCCGCAACAAAAGCATTCATCAAGACCCCAGCCCTCAGACTGGCCCTGGACACGAGGTGAGCTGGGCTGATGTAGCCTCCCCTGAAAACTTCATTCAAAAGCAGCTCAAACTATTGCAGGATGAGATGGCTAAATTAAGGGCAGAAAATGCAAAACTACGCCTAAAGCTTCAGTCCTTCAAACAACCATCTACCTCCCCACACCTCCCCGCCTCATCTTTCACCCCTACGCTTATCTCACCAGCACCAGCTCCTCTCTCAACCACCCCTATAGCTAGGCACCCCGCTCAACCATCTGAGCAAAAACGAAAAGTCTCGACTCCCACATTGTCATTCGATGAGCGAGTAGACCAAGTCGAAGCAAAACTAGAGAAGGTTGACAAAGAGAAAGAAAAACTAACCAAACTTGAGGAAAAACTAAACAATTTTATTACCTTCTCCACAGCTTCCTTCATGAAGCTACATGAATTCGTGGCCTGGATACAAGCCATGTTACCGATGCAATAAACCCTAGATAGAGTCACGCAGTAGATCGACACGGTTCACGCTAACCATCCAGAGCTTGCCCAATCTAAGCCAAATCAACTTAGCGAAAATGGCTCCTCGTAAACGCACTGAACTTTGCGTATGGCAATGGAACTGCAGGGGGTTTCGCCGAAAAAAGGCGAACCTCCTTAGTTACATCAAATCACAAACTACCCCTCCCCCAATCATTGCGTTACAAGAAACAAATGGTGTAGTGCGGCTGCCGGGTTATAGAACGCATCAAATCCGGCTTATGCCAAACCAAACTTTGCTGTCTTAACTCAGAAGCACCTTACAGTTACCTATTCAAAATTTGCTGACATCGACATTGAGCACGACTTTCTCCAAATACTACCTGATAAACTTTACTCGCCATTCTTATACATTCTTAACGTATATAGTAGACCACAAGAGCAAAGGCACCGCTTTGATTCCTATTTGCCCGAGCTACATCCTCGGCAGGCAAACACACCCTCCTCATAGTGGGGGATTTCAACTCCTACCACCCAGCGTGGGGTTACACCGCATCTACACCAAAAAGTAGAGCCCTCTGGTCCCATATTCAGGAACATCGTTTTACGCTGCACAACGACCCGGAGGAGCCTACTTGTTTGGGGAACAGTGTGAACAAAGATACATCTCCCGATCTTACCCTCACTCACAATGCCCCCACAATTGTTTGGACTAACACCCAAACTAATCTTGGCAGTGATCATTACATCATTAGCAATACTTTACAACTAAAACACACACCCATTGCACCTAAACCAATGATGCTCACAGAATGGGTCAAATTTAGAGAGACCCGCAACAGCACCGCTCCCTCACGTATTGCAGACCTTACCGAGTTGACTCAACAGCTTCAAAAAGATGTTGAAATTCACACGAGAACTCTAACCCCCGACAACTCGATAACTACTTTCGACTCCAAGCTTCTCCATATGTGGGAAGCAAAACAGTCACTTCTGCGACGGTGGAAACACC